ACATGCCATGGTGAGGGGAGGGGGGGCGGGCTGTAGCAGTTAGCCGGAGGAGACCTGTACGGGCCGACGCATGGGGCTCCCAGCACAGATGGGAGGGGACAGGGTGGGAGGGGCAGTGAGAGAGGGAGACACTGAGAGTGGGTGAGGCAATTGGGAGAAACAGAGTGAGACAGATAGGAGAGGGGCGAGGAAAAATGCCCCTCGTCGCCTCTCATTCTGACGCACACATGCAAGCAAAACATGCACGCGCACAAGCGGATCTTCAAAGCCGACTGCTTTTCATAGTCTCCCTATTAGCTAAAGAGATTACATCTGGGGCCCTGAACCAAATAAATTAGGTGAGAGGAGTGTCAGAGCTCAGTCTGCTCCACCTCAGGTTCCTCTCAGCACTTCAGTGGTGAGCAGAAAGGAAACACACTCTTAATCAGAGGGACATTGAGAGAGCGAGAAAGCTGGACACAGCAGGGATTACACTTTTTTTTTTCCTACTGTGGATTCCTCTCGTTTGATCAAGAACAGATTCACTGCCCTGTTGCATTCGGGTCGTTTTGCCATTCTTCTCCAGAACATTTGCCTTGCCTCTTGCTGTCCTTGTTTCCCCCTGTCCAACAGGGGTTCTTCAGTGGATTGTACGTGGGAGAGCAGGCGGAGGTGAAGTGGTTCCCCACGGAGGTGTTTTGAGTTATGGATGTTGACACATTCCTTGTGGACACGAGGGGAACCGGATCCAGCCTGAGCAGCACAAGCAGACACGACCTCCACGGACGCTTCACTGGGCTTTACCTCCTGGTATCACCCTTTCTCCCAGCCAGCTCTTCAGCATGTACCTTTCTGTGAGGCTCTTCCCAGTCTTCCGAGCTCCAGGACAATGTGCAAATGGAAAGTGACTAAGGGTGCCTCAGCCTGGTTCCGTCTGTCCTGCCTTTCCCTGCCGCTGCTACTCCTGCTCCTGTGTTCGGCTTTGCCTGTGGCCTGCCATGACACCCACAGGGCCGTACGTGCCCCGAGGGGCACCAACTCCTCGTCGTCTGCCGTGGTGGGGCGGCATGTGCGCAGCTACAACCACCTCACGGGGGACGTGCGCAAGAGGAAACTCTTCTCCTACCAGAAGTTCTTTCTCAGGATCGATAAGAACGGAAAAGTCAACGGCACTAAAAGCAAGGACGATCCGTACAGTGAGTAACACCCGTTTTTCTCCTCTTTCCTTTCACATGTGGGTCCCATAGAAGAAATGGCAATGCCTCCTTTGATTTCGCAGTCAAACACCCAGCAGATAATATGAACCTTACCTGATGTTGGTGGGTGCGAGCTGCTGTGCATGGAGTTGGGCTATGCATGCGTTGCTGAGAGGTAGTCAGCTCTAATGTTTGTCCTTAGGTTTCAGAGTGCAGATTTATTCGTAGCAGGTTTCCTGGAACCAATTTGAAATTACCAGGGGAGCCTTTCCTTTCTGTAAAATGCGCAAACCGTTGGAAGTTACTCCCGAACATCATGCAGTACATCAGTTATCTTTATTACTGCTGCTGAAACTCCCTTGTCACTGCAACAAATGGCTTACTTTTAAGATTTTATTATTTTAAAGCAAATGTCAGGTGGTTCTTTTTTCTGTTGAAAGTGGTATCATGTTCATTCATAAATAATCTTTAAATAATCAGAAGAATTTTAACTTTACTTCAATTTACAGTTTGTGGCATGTCCAGACACCCGGCAAAGACCTCGAAGCACCTGGCCACCACACTCCGAAATCTCCCTCTGCACTTTTTCGTTAGTAGGTTGCACACACATTGCGGCTAATAAAAAAGGCTTTGACATATGGGTCCCATGTGCGTGCTGCTTGGCTTTTTTAGACAAGGGTGTGCTGGAACTCCGTAAGACATGGCTGTGGGTATTTCAATTAGCCGAACTGCCTCTTAAATGTGTTGCACAGAAAGTCTCTTAATAAATCCAAGACCAGACTTGGAGAGTTTTGGAACGCTTTCAATTACCATCAAAGAGTTTGTCCAGAAAGCCGGACACTGTTAGATCCAGTGTTGTAGACGTTAACATTTACATAATTATATTTATTAATGCTTATTTGAACTAACTAACTAAATAAATAAATAAATAAATGTGTGCCAGCTTTTTATATTTATTTAAAATAAATAAAAAAAATGATACATTTATATCTATCATGCCACGTTTTTGTACTTCCCTGTTAAAAAAACAAAACCATATTTCATGTTTTTGTACTTATCCCTATGACAGTGATCTCTGTACATGTTAAAAGATTCCTGCCACTCACTTACCACATGTGAAAATTGCACTGTCCTTGTTAGCTCCCACAATGACCCTTAGGCATGAAGCATACTGGTAATAATGTTCCAGCCAGATGCACTGAGTTTCAATGGGGATTCACATCTCATTTCAGTGCTGATATATCTGAAGTGTGGATATGGCCTGGAATGTCTGCGGGAGGCATAGCAAAGGGGAATCACTTGTTGGTGAATGGATCATTTCTCCAAAACAGATTGGACCTCTGCCATCCCTTTCCCTGCGCTTTTTTGCGGGCACTATAATTGAATTTGAAGGGCCTCTGGTGCCCACAAGGTAGCAGCAGTGCTCCCTGGATCCCTCGCTTTAAAACAGCACCACGGTGAAATGTTAGTGTGCGGCGTTTACGACAGACGTGTTTGTTTGATTTATTCTGTAATCAGAGACCATTGTTATTGCCGCAAATGCCCGTAAAAAGGGCAGAAATGAGTGGCTTGCTATGTTATGTACCTGTTAAAAAAACAAAACCATATTTCATGTTTTTGTACTTATCCCTATGACAGTGATCTCTGTACATGTTAAAAGATTCCTGCCACTCACTTACCACATGTGAAAATTGCACTGTCCTTGTTAGCTCCCACAATGACCCTTAGGCATGAAGCATACTGGTAATAATGTTCCAGCCAGATGCACTGAGTTTCAATGGGGATTCACATCTCATTTCAGTGCTGATATATCTGAAGTGTGGATATGGCCTGGAATGTCTGCGGGAGGCATAGCAAAGGGGAATCACTTGTTGGTGAATGGATCATTTCTCCAAAACAGATTGGACCTCTGCCATCCCTTTCCCTGCGCTTTTTTGCGGGCACTATAATTGAATTTGAAGGGCCTCTGGTGCCCACAAGGTAGCAGCAGTGCTCCCTGGATCCCTCGCTTTAAAACAGCACCACGGTGAAATGTTAGTGTGCGGCGTTTACGACAGACGTGTTTGTTTGATTTATTCTGTAATCAGAGACCATTGTTATTGCCGCAAATGCCCGTAAAAAGGGCAGAAATGAGTGGCTTGCTATGTTATGTATCATCATGTACTTGAAACATCAAAACATCCTCAAATGATTTTACTTCAGTTGGAGCCACTGGCATTTTAAAAGGAACCAGTCCCTTTGTGGTATAATATTTCTCTCGAGTTAACAAAAAGAATATTCCCATGAACAGCACGGCGTGTCATTGTATATAGACTGACGTCATGTTGACAATTATCTTTGTGTTTGAAGGCCCAGTGTTTGAATAGAACTGAATTTTATCAAGAGGGAAAAGGCTGTGCACATATCTGTGCCTGTCAGACTCAATTAAAAAAAAAAATTGTTCAATGTTTATGAAAAGCACACTTTGCATTATGCTGAAATTAGTAGTCGACTAAACTCAAGGTTAGTAGTTTTTCTGTTTTGGATGAGCCTAACTTTAGCCAGAGTTACAGAATATACTTTTGGAACAGCACAAAGTATAAAAAGAGATGTATTTTGTTTACCAAACTCCGCAGTTTTAATGAGACATTAATATAGCCTATTTACCAGCAATGCACATATAAAATGTCACATCTTGATGCAAAATTTACATTTACACTCCCGTAAACACGTGCAGTAAATCAAAAGCCCGTAGTTTATGAGAGGGCCAATATTTGTTTTGCATATTTGATGTGGAAAAATATTTGCAGAGAGCCTAAGTATGATAGATTGTTACATTTCCCAGATTCAAACTCCCAGTCAGAGTCTCTTTGTCCATATTTGAGTTCTCAAGTCCAGCCTTCTTTAGTTTTCAAGTCCACAAAAGACCTGTCTATGTGCAGCTTGAAATCCTATCCTACCCATATTGTTTGATTTTCTTTCAGAATCCATCAGCTCAGTATCACTTTTGTCACATCTCCCCCAAGACATTTTTGGAAACGGCACCCCGTTCTCGAACTCGGAGCTGTCCTCGGTGTATTGAACGAGCTTAACAACAAGCTCACTGTGATGCAAAAGCTCTTGCATGGACCGGCCAGAGTTTAATCTTTCTTTAACTGTTTTGATCTTGTTTGCCTTCTCTTTCCTCTGTGCAACTGTTTTGTATTTATCACACGGTGCTGATGAAAATGTCAGTATCGACACGAACGCAAAACCTCTGGTGTTGTAGTTCAGCGGTGATGGCATGGCCGGAGGAAATCGTTAATGAGGATCATTAGTCTTTGACAGCTGTGATTGAGGGGATTTGTCTGATCAGAGTTCAACTACTGGTTGAATCGTAAGGTCTAAAGTGCAGGGGTCTTTCCAATCATCATGACAGCTCTTGGGCAGCAGATCAAACAAGGGTCAGGCCAGCGGTCATTATATGTCTCTCACTCCATTTGGGGTCAGTGTAATCTAATAGGGCTCAATTAAGAATACAGATTATTGCTGGTCTAATGAGGTGTTTCCAGGCCAAACCCTATTAGCTTTGGTAATTTGAAAAGGTTGTTTTGCTTCATGAGAGAATATAAATTGCTCGGTTTATTTCAGGTGCTGAGTTTCTTTGTATGCGTTAGGCTGGACCTTATCAACTATAAAGCAAACAAACCCTTGTGGGATGAAATGATTTGTTTGAATGTATGTTAATATTCATAACTTGTCTTTCCTCCTGCGTTCCATCAGCTTCTGTCGGTTTACCTCATATAAAAGTTGTTTTGTCATTTTAATGAGAAAGAAAGATGAATAAGGCTATTCTGTCAAGTGTTTCTCAGAAACTAGCATGGATTGACACTGACCTGCTGCTGGGTAGTGTTGCGCTGTATTGTTGTTATGACTTTATAGGGCCTGGTGTGACGTTAAATGCTTCATCAGGAACAATAACAAGATAACTGCAAGCCACTCTCAGCATGTCTGCTGGGACAAAATGGAAAACAATCAATTGATGCTAGTTAGTAGGGCACGATTATGACAAAAATCATAAATGTCTCATATTTGTAAATGCTATTATTAATTTCTATTAAAAAATAAACGTACATTAAAAAAATTCAAATTGAGAAATGTATTATTATTATTATTTTTTATTATTAATACAATTTTTTTTTTCTGTTCAAACTGCATCTAGATTTACATCTAAAAATCCCCCCATAAAAAACTTAATTACCCACAATGCTTTTGACTTTGAACCTTCTTTTTGAGCATCATATCATGTTTCTTCAACATCAATTTTGGTGCCACCATGAACCGAAGTGAAGTATTCTCAGTCAGTTTGACCAGTTGTTGTTGCTGATAGACCTATAGACTCATTACACTACCTTTGTTTTGTCATTGCATTCATGCATACAGTGAACATCTCTGTGATTGGTCGTAGTGCTCAACCACTGCAAAAAACCGTGTTGCAAACAAAACATTTTGGCACAATAATTGTGCAGCCTTGGTAGTTAGTGATCATTTTCATATGATATTTGATCACAGATTTATACGCTATATGACTGCATGTCCATCATAACATCGGTTTATTCCGTTTTTCAAATGTAGCTTTAAAATGACCCACTGGTGTGAATGAACATGTGCAATGTGTGAATTTAAATGACATGTTGCCAGCCCTGACCACATGGATGGCACTCCACAGAAGTGTGTGTGTGTGTGTGTGTGTGTGTGTGTGTGTGTGCTTGCTTTCTGTGGTTACTGTGCCCATTTATAGCTCCCCTGGGAAATCCCAACCACACAAGTAATAAAAAATGACTTATGAGGATTGAGCTGATGTGCAAAAGGTTAGTGTCAGTGTTTCATTTTCTTTGACCTTGACTTCCTCATAGACTTTCTCCTTTCTGATTCATAAATAACAGAGCTGGATTTTACAAGACATTTTAAATATCACTACAAGATGCACGGCCTTCAAAAATGCAACATGCTGATAACTTTGACATCTTTGCTTATAAGTT